TTCATGTCCGTCCAATACACTCCCGCCGCAAAAAAGGATAGAAATGCAATAAAAAGATGTGACAAATAATCACTTGGTTTTTGATGAGGAAGATGTTCTTTGATGGAGAAGGATTTTGGACCTATGTTTCAAATACAACCTATAAAAGTTTATCAGTATACTAAATAAATACGCATATCAATGCAATTATTGTATTGATGTTGGTAAAAAAATTGAAGATGTTGGGGACAGCCCTGAAAATATTGTAAAAGAAAGTCGAGAAAGGGTCAATGCCGAACACACTATTACGAGTGGTGGAATCAGATAGCGAAATGATTTCTGAAAAGAATACGCCCATCGTTGATGAATGCCAAATTTCCTTGAAGTGTTGCCGTCGAAGTTTCTCCAGGGCATCGGATCGTGCAATTCTTATTGATGCTTGATGTGCTGAAGTGGAAAGTGACTGTGGAATCGTGTCCATCTGGTGTACATATCACCAATTGGATAGAATTTTCACACTGAATTTGTGCAGTTTCTTGGCTGGCAGAGGACTTGCAGGAAACTTTTGTTGTCGCTCCTTGTGTGCATGAGTAACATCCGAATAGCTCTTCCATTCGTCCATTTAGACAGGAGCTGTTGTTTCTATTCGCGGCCATTACGAGTCCTTGCGCTGATATTTGCATGATGAGCGCGGAGCCAGTGGTGGTTTTCGCTTTGATAACTGATCCTTCTTCGTTTATTATAGCGACTTGGCTTGTCGTAACGGAAAGTCTTCTGGATTCATTCTGTAGGAAAGGCGAAATTGTTCCGCTTGAGCACGTGCATTTCACTGTGTAGACTCTTGGTGTACAGCTGCATGCGTGTTTGGCGAATGAGCAGTTGGAAAACAGATTGGCTTCATCCTTGCTCTTGCATTGAACTTGTCCCGGTGAATGCACAATGAGTTGGCCTTGTGGTGAGGGCTCGATTATTGCTACAGTATTGTCGTCTGTGATGAAGTAGCTTGAAAGTATCGGTAGAGCTGGAGTGCTTGTGCTCATCAAGGTTATTTGCACGTTGTTCCACCGTAAAGGGAGACCTGGCTGGAGTGTAAATGGAAGTGTTGACGAAGATTCATTGCTCGTTATAGCGATCGTTCCTTCAACCTGCAGTGTCCATGTTGGGCATGTGAAGATTCTGTAAATAGTCGAAGATGTGGGGTACGCGTAATATCGGTAAAAGAGACATGTGTCTTCGCAGTAGAAGCAAACATTACACAATAAACACTTACAACTCGGTACACAGGATGTGTACCCTGGATTTGCGTTTGAAACGATACTGAAGTCGTTTAGCTTCGTGTTTGGTGTAATTTTTTGGCGAATGTTTCCATGGCAGCTTTCAGTTTTCCAACATTGATGTCGTGATTCCGAATGAAATTCGTGATCCCTTGTGAAGTACTCCGTTTTTTTGTTGGCAAATATGGGCGATGTTTTCGAGTCGTATTGCAATAGTTCCCATTGGCTGTTTGTCTCTGTTTTTGAGTAGGAGACAAGCTTTTTGGCCGATAGGTTGAAGAGGGAAGCGTAGTTTCGTCGGATGAACACGACTCTTTGTTGTTCACTTCTGTGCAGTAAACGGTATCGCTTTTCATAGAAACAATGTCGGAGCAGCACTGGGAAGCTGCTGTTAACAACATTACGGTTGCTATTATTCCATAAAGCTTCTTTCTTCTTCTTCTTAGTTGATATGAGGCTGTTGAAGCGTTGTACGTTTGTTTCCTTTTCGTAAGAGTTTTAAACTTCAGTAGCATGGATTTAAAAATGTTGGTGAAGAAGCATGTACCTTTTTTGAATATCCATCGGATGATCCTGAAGATGGGAGTGCAGAGATGGAGCATAACCATGACTGCCATTGCGAATATGAGAGACGTAGCTATTTCGGTGGTTGACCAACACTGGACGTTGTGAAGTTTCTGCCAGCAGATTCGACCATGAATCGTTTCACATATTGGTTGTCCGCGACAGAAGTGTGTTGTTGCGAAGCTGCGTTTGCCTTTGATCCATCCGTTGAGGTGAATCTCGTGCCGAAACATTACAAAAGATGACGGAAAAAAATTGCTGTATAAGCTCCATATTTTTTAGCATAGATACAGATTGACGCTATACACATTTCAAGTGAGTCATATGTTTCGGTAGTTTCCATTGAGACTCCTCCTGGGACGCATTTTAGTATCGAATAGAGATTGAGGGATATATCCTTATCTTGTCTGTAAGAATAGTATTCCTTTGTTGTTGTGCCCCATGCTTTTATGATGAATGACGTTGTGTCGGAGTCAAATGTTGTTACTGGTGAAGAGTACAAGCAGAATACTGAACGTGGGTTAGGTTTCGAACATGAGTGTTGTCGACAGAAAGCTGATGAGCCGTATTTTGACGTTGCAGATGGTAGTGGAACAGTCTTTCCTACAGCGCCGAAGCAGTAGTAGTCATTTTCATCCAGAAATTCTCTTGTTGTAGTATGGAGTACTCGTACAACTACTTTTGCGCCATCATAAAGTTCGATTTGGTGAAAAATTCTGGTCTTCAGCGCAATCCGGAGACTACTGGAATGAGCATGCATGAGTGGGCTTGTAGCCTAAAATGTCTAGTGGTACGGTGTTGATTTATGACATTTCCTTATGACGTCCGTTGTAAAATGAGCAATTCTCTATTTAGTTGGAGCAGGAGCACTTTCTTCCGCAGTATCCAGTGTCAGGAATTATTGGCATTGGAATGTTGATGTGGCCAGATGGACAGGATATCGAAAACCAGCAGAGTCTTCTATTGCTATTATCCGATTGAAAAGATGCTGCTGCGTTCCTTTTGATCTGCACTACCTGCGTAGATTATCCTCTTGGCTATGGTGATGGTGGTTGGGCACTTGCTGCTGAGAACGGTGACCTTTGAGCTGCAAAGTGCTGTAAGAACGGGAGCGATGGTGAGTAGCGAAATTGATGTAGTTGTTTTTCCCTTTAATCTTGTCATCGCTGGGTGAGTGAACGTTTTTAGTGTTCCCGTGCGTTGTTGCTCTTCTTGAGTATTCTTTTGGTCGTTGCTGTCTTCAGAAGGTAAAATTTCCAATGGGCTAATGAGGTTAGTAGGCCTTGTGATGATTTCCTCGTTGGCTAAGCGTAGTTGAACTGTTCGCTGAAACTGATCTGACGAGCCAATTATTTGTCCAAGTTTCCATTGTCCACGTTGCGGCGAATTGTCATGAATTAGAACATATTCGTGAAGCCTTGGTCGCGAACTTTCCTCAAAACGAGGATGTTTGCTAGAACGATTATATTGTTCACGCATGCTTGTCAAATATTCCGAATTCCATCTGTTTCAAAAGGAGGTGAGAACTTCGTTTGTCGTTTTCCATAATTCCATTAGATTTTCGTGTACACTGGTAGGTGGCGTATAGTCTTCAATACAATCGAATCGAGGCGTCGCAATTAATGCAGTTGGTCTCAGAAAGTCTATCGGCCTGAGTGGATATTGAGATTGTTCATCCATTACATTAGTAAGTGGTCGTAAGTTGCAAATTGCTGTGCAATCTGCCGTGATTGTTTTCGAGGTTTCTATGCCGGAAATTTCTCTTCTAATAGCATTTCGGAACGCTGCTTTAGACATACCGACCATTCTCTCGTATACTCCCCCTTGCCAAGGACTATGGCTCGCAATAAAATTGAAGCTCATCTTACGATTGGCGCAATAATCGATGGCATTTTCCTTGGGCGTTATCGAACTGAACATGTTCGATTGAATTTCGTTTATTGTCTTGAAAACTCTGGCGTTGTCGCATACTATCCAATTGGGAAAACCATTGGTTGCTATAAAAGGACGAAGAACATGAAGTAGAGCTTCCGCATACATACTTGTTACGACCTTCGTGAAGATGGCTCTTGTGTTCAAGCAAGTAATAAGAATTATCCAGTATTTCGAAATTGTGATGTTGTCTTCCCTGTAACTGAATGGTCCTATGTAATCCATACCGCATCGCTGGAAGGAAAACTGTGGTTTTGTTACTCTTCCCTTAGGATGCGCAGGGAAGTCGGGTAACCCATAGGATTTTGCCTTTGCTTTTGGACAGACATAGCAGCTGTTGTGGAGAACCTTCTTTACGGTAATGCGACCTTTTGGTATCCATACTCTGACGCGTGTTTCAGTCAGGGTTTGTTCACTCCGCAATGGTGACTCATACAATGAATATGGAGAATGTAGAAAGTGGTGATATAACTTTCTCTTGGAAGATATATTGGTTCAATCGCGTTTTGTGATAGATTTGCATTGTCGATCCTTCCTTTGCATTCCCATAAAAGTGTACGATCACAATGATATAAGTTCAATCGCTTTTTGACGGCGTCGCTCCGGGGGTGACTCTTTTTGTTTGTCGGCAGATGATACGTTCGGCGCTTTCGATCAATTTTTCCTTCTTCAATGAGGAGTAATTTTTCGCTTTTGGTGATTTTTTGACGATGATCAGAATATGAAAGAAATTAAGTTCCTTTGAGCCATAGTTGAGAGTGTAGAAATTTCGCTAATTTCACTCCGATTGTGATTGCCGAAAGTTCTAGTCGAGGTAATGTTGGAGTGGAACGGAGAGGAGAGAGACGTGACTAAAAGGATACTTGATTATTTCCGCAAGAATCGTGACTTACCAAATGCGCAACTGCGCAAAATGCCATTTTCGATGCATCTGTGAATACATGAAGGTCGATCCGTGAGCCCTTTGACGTATCGAGATCGAGTCTTCTTGGTAGGCGAATTTCTTCGATACACCACTGCTCAAGAATTGATTTCCATTCTTCTAAGAGCTCTGTCGGAAAGAAGGTATCCCATTGTAGTCTTGTTTTCCATAACTTTTGAATGAATGCTTTGAAGATGAGAACTGAAGGGGTAATCCATCCAAGTGGATCGTATATACTAGCAACTAATTTGAGAACTTTCCTTTTCGTCCACGTGTTGCAATCCTTGTGTGCTTTGTGTAGCGGCAATATGAGCTCGTCTTCATTGGTATTCCACTTGAGTCCAAGGACCTTGGAAATCCTGTCTACTGTGGCTCCTTCTACAGTTTCTAGAAAGTTATTGAATTCCTCGTCGTTGCTTGCGAATTTTCGAACATTCATCCCTGCATTTCTGAATATATCTTTTGTTTCTTCGTAGATGAGTTCAGCGTCTTTGAGGGATGAGGCTTCTAAAAAGATGTTGTCCACATAGATATTGGATGGTACCAGCCAGAAGGATTGGTGAGGCGTTTAATCCAAAAGGTACACGTCGAAATACATATGTGATGACGTTCCCTTCTTGGAGTCCTTCAGTAGGCCATAGAAATCGGGTGAAATCTCTACTTGCCTTATCTAATCCAACCATGAGAAAGGCTTTTTCTATGTAGGCCGTGATAAGAATATTCATGAAGCGGATTCTCAGGAGAATGCCAGTAATTTCGGGGAGGAGTACTGGTCCCCTGTAAAGTACATCATTTAAACTTCGCTTGCTTTTTGTCTTGGCGTATCCATCGTTTACGCATCGTAGTTTGGTGTTCTTGCTTTTTTCCGATCGCTCTATGATGTGGAAGCTAGTGGCAGCCCGTCGGAACCTCTTTGTTGTTGACTTCTTGGATAATTCCTCTCTCTAGTTGCTCTACAATAATCTTATGATACCTTTGAAGCAAGTCTGGACGTTGGTTCAATGCCTTCAGAGTGCTCTTGAGGCAACAAATAGCGAGATCGAAGTTGTCTGACAAGTCAGAGATATCATCTTTGAAAGGCAATTGGACCGTGTAGCGGCCTTCGGCGGGACTGAAATGAATCGTCTTTAAATTCTTGAAGGCACTTGTCGTCGTCGGATTTGGTGTTGCCTTCAGACTTTCCCTCTGATTCGATGGACCAGAACTTTTCCACTAGTTCCTCTAGCTTTTCTAGAAGGGCCGGAACTTCTACAAATTCTCACCAGAATCGTACGAAAAGACACGACTCTACAGGAAATGGAAGACTGCATCAACTCGCCTACAGAAACGTACGTTAACGCCGTTTATCAACGCCATGTGACACCAAAGTATTCACCAAAAAGGGACCAAACTCAATCCAAACCATGGTCTCCTCAACCATCTTGGAAACACTGAACATTTCGTGGAGATCTTCACATCCAATCAGCCTGTCCAAAGCACAAATCACCGAACGATCGGATAAAGGTAGTCAAATTGAAACGCTTATGCTATAATTGCTTGTCTTCACGTCATACACCAAGAAATTGCCAATCAAAACGAATGTGTATTCACTGCAGTAAGCGACATCATTCTTCTATATGTTTTTCGTAGGGACAAGGTTCTCTTTTTTTCCGCATTGATCGTAGATTCGGCTTCTGATGTTCTTGGTAGTTTGTTGAGAAGAATCGCTCTGAGAGCATATTCTTTTAAATCGTCTTCGTGAGGTTTCGACCATCTTTGTCACACGATGGAAGGTAAGTAAGTCGCGTATAGAGGATGTGCCGTGTCGTAACGTGGTCATCGAAGTGGTTCTTCAGTATTTCGACCGCAACTGGGTAATTTGCGGCGGTGATCGCTAGTTCTTTGATTGTCTGCAGAGCTCGCCCTCGTAGCGTTTATTTGAGAAGAGATAGTTTCGTGGCTCTGTCAAGTTCTGGTTTATCTCCAACGAGGGTAGAAAATCTGGCGCAGTATTCCGGAAATTCGAGTAGGCTGCCGTCGAACATTGGAAGGTCGAGCTTGCTCAAGATGGAAGCATCAACGAAAGATAGAGTTGGCGGTGAGGTTGTGGCGATATTCGGTGGCGTACGCAAGAGAGGTGATGAGTCGTCGTGAGGCACAGTAGTCGAGAAGTAGGAGTTTGTCGACGGTATTCGAGGTTGTTGGGCTGTAGTATGGTCCGTAGAGCGTTAAGAGTCGGTATCCGATTCCTCGCATGGTTCGAACTCCATTTGACGTTTGATGAGTTCTTCTTCGAGTTCCTGGCTTTTCCTTGTCCAGTCTCTGCAGAACTAGAACAGCCTCTTTGAGAATATCTTGAAAGTCTCCATACTTGCTGACGTAATTTTGTAGTATTTCTTCTTCTTCTGGATTAGCGGATATGAGGAGTTGCCATTGCTTCCATAGTCGTTCGAGTCGAGAATATGCGCGGTAGATCGAGTCGTGAGTAGACATGTGACGTTCATAGTCGTTGAGAAGGTCGTCGTCAGAGAGTTGCGAGATTTGTGATTTCTGTACGTGTTCACTTTCGGCTTCCGATAGTGCTGTGCGAAGTTGTCGCTTTGTGATTCCAATTTGTTGGCGAATAGTATCTGACATCTCGGAAGATTTGTAGTCGAATTGAGCCGACGTTGATTTGAGCTGGCTGCTGACGGACGGTGGCTTCGGACTTCAGTTGTCGGCAATGGATGTCTTCTTTGCCGTGGTCGCCATATTACGAACCGCGTCACGAACAAAATTTTTATTGCGATAAGCACCTTCTAACAGTTTTGGAGCAATATATATACTCAGCGTTGTAGGCAGGAATTCCATTAAAATTGGTGATTGAGGCTCATATACAACAACATACGGCCCTATGTTTGGGCTGTTGGCTCATTCATTAAAATATGATTCGTGGCTCTAACATTTGAGAAGGCAAAATATTCGAATTTCACGTCCGTCCAATACACTCACGACCGTCAATGGTGTCTCACTGTTCCCTTGTTGTTCACGAAATAGAGTGGGACGACAACGCTGCTGGAACCGCAGGACGTTCGCTGCTTAGTGGGGATGTTTCGGCGTTTGAGTTTCTGGGTGTATTTGCAACCGGTTTAGTGCATGTGGGCGCTTGGTCAAGTAAGCCACAGACCAAAAGCTCCGGACTATTTTCAGGTCCTTGAAGACGACGAGTTAGTGGAAACGTCGACCTAATAACCGGTTCTATCATAACAAACCTGTACGGCAAAGCATTGTGAAATATTCTGCGACATGCCCTGGTTTCAAGGAGACCGAGCGTGGAGATCTTAAACTGTTAGAGTGGGCGCTGTATTGTGACGGGAAGCAGGAAGAAGACAAATTTTGCATGTTCTTATATGCACTTATATGCAATTGAGGGGCGTACAGGGATATGTTTCCTAACTTATCTAGGTTATTTTTGGCAGAGCGAGAAAGTTGGAATCAGTTTGTTGATTATATCTCTCTGTTCATTACTGAGTTCTGTTCAGCCATAGTTGGGAGCTGCGAAAATGAAGATGCGACTACTGTGAGAGAGCTCGGAACACCACTGAGCAACAAAGATAGAATACTATATCCATTGCCTGGTGAGTGCTATTACAGTAGTCTCCAGGAGGAAACTTTTTTCAAGGTAGATCAATCTTTTCGATGTGCCAATGCTAAAAATGCGAAAGTGGAATTCTTCCACATCGTTTCTTGGGTCGCCGCCTTGCTCTCATTGGACGAATGTAGAAGCTTAACGAGTCCGACGGTGAGTGAGCGAAAGGAGGGGTGCAGGAGGATTGTTTGTCAGTGCCGGTTCTGGTCCGCCATCGCAACGCCTGTGCAGCCCTCCGATCATCTTTCTGATAGTCAGTCACCACCTGCTTATGCAACAATAATTTCCGTTTTCTGAAATTTGTCATTCGTTTGCTCTTACTGTTGTGATAATGGCACTAATATAAGTCAGATGTGGTCTTGCCAATGTCGAAAGTTGAAACTTGTCAGAAGAGTTTCTGATTTCGTCCAGACGCTTTGAAATGGGACGTTGTGAAAAAGAGGCGTTCACTCATTCTGAGACGGGATTGAACAACAATAGGAATTTTTAGCTATTCACTTCAGAACAGTAGATAAAAAGAGAACGTTCTATAAAAGATCCTGTCTCTGGAATGTTTTCTATTTTATAGGTAAGGCTTGAAGCAGGCTAACAGATACAATTTTGTTTGTTTTTTTTTTACCGACGTAGGTGGAGTAGTTACTGTCTCCTTACGCGCTTGATTTCTCCGTGGAACAAAGTTCCGACCTTACGATTCGTTTCGCTTCATTTGGGCTTTATTCATAGCTTGGCCAAATAAAGGACATGATTTGAACATAGTTCCTCACAAAACTCTGTAGACCACGTGAAGAACTCGTTCAATTTTCCAATGGAGGAAGTACAAGAAGTGGTCATGGCTGAATCCACGATCACCGATTTCCAAGCAGAGAGATGCATTCAATTTTTTGAAAACCTATGGACTAATGTAAACTCCTAGCAGTTAGACCAATCGTATGCAATCGTATTCGATGTCTCCTGCATGCAGACTCGAATTTCGACGACCGCAACGTGGTGAAAGTAGTGAGACAGATTAGCCTACTTAACAGACCATTCGCTATCCAGTCTTATTGGAATTATTTTTGTAGAACTTGCTGTCTCGTTATGATTCCGATTCTATGAAGAAGAACATCTTACACGATCTTTTTATAGCCATTTATTCGAGCATGATCCATGTTTCGACTCGAACATTAGCTCAGCTCTAACCATTAAAGGCGCAGTTCACGATAATTCCTCTTTGCTGGCTTACGGGGCTTTTCCGCCACTCGATCGATGCCGCTTCAGACGAATGGCGAGGTGATNTTTTTTTTTGTTCAGTTATGCTCATAAGTAAATGAATTTTTGCTTACCGTAGTCAGATATTTGCACCAGGACCCACGCGTACGCAATGACCCGCATTTTATAGCTGGTCCAAACGCCCCACTCTTCTTCATTTTTCTGGTCTCACTCTCGTCCATTCCCCCTTTTTAACCATTTTTCGAAGCCTTTTTCCACTCTGAAAACACCGACGCAGGCAGTTCCTTCGCCTTTATCGCACTATTTCCTATCATGTCTTCCATTTTTCGTCATAATCTGGATTACTCAAAATAATCGTGAACTGTGCCTCTAACATTGATCAGCATGTTATGACTGAAAAAAGCTGTTGTAACTACAGAAGCTTTGCAATAAAGAATGTATTGAAAAAGCTTTCAGCAGAGAAGTTACTGGAGGGAATCAACTCACTAGAACGATAGCAAGTTTTCAATTTGTTATCTATTCTCGGCTTTCGCCTAATCAAAATGCGAATCCCTTCTTCAAAAGTTGTAAGCAGGAAGTGACAAACTAAGAGCAAAGGTGTGCTGAGGAATTCTTCTAAACGGGTTTGAAAGATGGTCGTATCACCTTGCTTTGGCGTGTCTTAGGAGAAAAAAATCACAGAATGGTGAACAGTGAAGTGACCCCCTCTTCTCGCCACCCATTTGGCGGAACACGTTTTTTAGCGGGTGTAATACTTTATCTCGGATGTAATATATTGTATCTGTCACTTTTTCATCACAGCCGTCCCAACACCCCACTTGAATTTCCCCATTAAGAGCCGTTCTTGGCTTAAGCCGTAGATTAAGAACTTAAGTACACACTTCAATATTTAAATTCTCACGTATATAAGAGATCAAGTTAGCTATTGAATTATATATTATAATCAGAGATAAAATGAGCTGCTGAAACCGTACAGCTTCTGGAGCTTCTTTTGCAACATGACCAGTTTGCGTACAGTTTTCGATGACCATTTCATTTACTTATAGTGATCAACGCCGCATATGAGTAAGAAATCGTGAATACAATGTGTGTCGAAATTGAGTCAGTGTGGTTGAAGTCATTGGTAACGACAGAAACGATTTTTACGATCTCCTCGGGATGAATTTTTGACCCCCAGGTATGTCTGAGGGCCGCAGATTGAGGGCTGAAAACGACTCAAATATTACGCAGAAAGATTCTGTAGATTGTTCCACTATATGCTCTAGCGAGAGGTGGCAACCTTGTATAGCAAAAACTTATACACTGAAGTTACGCTGAACATTCGAACAACTGACCAGAGGGAATCTGAGAGCACAACAAACAACGAAATGGAAATAACGAAATGGCAACAGTAGCAGAGAACAACAACATGAAGCTCTCAAAATCCGACCCATGCTAACAGTTGAGGACTTTTTTGATTATTGTTGCCAGTTCTTTAGGCAATTGCACACGACTGACATCCCGTTCAAATACTCCTTCACTGCCCCTTTAGTCGTAATCTCGCATAATCGCTGATTTTGCTACTTTTGTTAGCTGTGTTATTTCTTGAGTTCCGTAGTTTTTCGCGCTTTCTCGTTACGATGCTCTATTCTGCGCCAATACATTTTTATTTACATTCGATTAGGTACTTCAAAATTATTGTGAAATGTGTTCTTAAGGTATCTCGTTTAGTCAAAGAAAATGAAAATCATTGGATGAAAAGTGAGTTCGCGCATATATAAAAAGAAAAAAAAGAAACAAGAAAGTAGAGACAGCAGTGTGCCGATGCGGAAGTATAAGGAGAGCTAAGCGTTCAAAAATAAAATAAAAAAAGTAAATGATATCATCAATGACAGAAACTGTCTCATCGCTTCAAACAAATGGTTAGAACCACATCGTGGCAGGATAAAGGAACTCCGATGGCCTCTCGAATGACTGGCCGAGACGCATGACATGGCCTATTTCATCCCACATACTCATATTCTCCATTTTCACAAAAGAATTTAATATGTTGCGAATGGCGGAATTCGCATGTATTTCACGAAAGCTAAACAGACCTTGCATCTTTTTCTGATTAATCCAAATCTCATTAATAGAATCCAAATTCGTTAAAGAAGAACAGCACGGAAGAGCATAGGATAGACCTCCCACTACTTTTCCTCAATTCGCTTCATGAATTTAATACGTTTTCGTGTGCCTCTGCATGGAACTGCCAGTGAATTCGTTCAGCAGTGGTTGGCTTTATGATGGGAATGTTTTTCATTTTCTATGGTTGAATTGAAAATTGCGAACTTTACTTCTTCAGCTCGAACAGTTTTGCATGAAGAATAACGAGAGAATTTGAAGGAGCAATTCTAAGAACTTTTCAGCAAATGTCGGCACAGCTTTCTAGTCTCCCCTTCCATATAAGTATATCGTATTTCGATGAAGACATTTCCCTTCCAATCAACTGAAACAGTACACAAACACAGTTCTGTTGGGGAGTCTTTTTGCGACCATTCTCGTCCACTTCTGACTCCTGACAGCGACGATACCAAATGGCTTCGAAGTCACGTAGTTGCCTAACTTTTGTAACACTGCAAGCAGGTGCAATCGATTGGTTTTTAAGAAATGATTCAGATCATTTACCGCACCCATAAAACGGGTTTGCCAACAATCGCCACCCCCTCCCTCCCCAATTGAAAGTGTGTCGCCGACGGTATCGTGCCACGCCCTGTGCACTCAAACGTTTACACTGCGCGACAAACATTGATTGATGCCAAACACTACATCACAGAATAACGGTCCACTTCTCAAACATTTTACCAATCCGGTTCTCCAACCTCGAACTCTCGCCCTCAGCTCATTCCTGCGGCTAGTCTCGCCGATACCATCAAGCGTTTTCTTGCCATGCCGGTTTTGCTTGTTTCGTTATCGCCACCCTCGTTTTTCAGGTATGGAGATAGCCTTACAGGAGAAAAGTAAAGGAATACTTTACGAAGGTTATACGAAGTCATTTCGTCAGTGTATTTTCGAAGAAGGAGACGTTGTCGGGAAGAATGAACGATACGAATTTCGGTTTGTGTATTACCTTTATCCATTATCACTTGTTTTGACTTGTTGTTTTACGAACTGCTGTTTCTCGCCGCAGTTCGCGATGCGGAAGTTTCACAAGGTTAACGAGTTACAGACGAAACTTCAGCCTGGACAAGCTCGAACTCGCACTTGTGCTATCCGGGCACCGTGCCCTATCCCTTAAACCACCGAGACTCCGCTTGTGAGACTTTCGCATCACATACTGCCGCGAAAAATAACAGTTAACGAAACTTCAAAACAAAACAAGTTATATCAAGTAAAGCTTACAGCTCAACTTGGTATACAGTAGCGTTCAAAAGTCTTCGGCCAAATGCTTCTTCAGTGTACTTTTCAGTCGTCACTCCTTTCCTACTGGACGCGAAATTTCAGTGTGTGTAGCATGGGTGTATTGTGAATATTTACCACTATTAACCTGCAGTCTGATCATGTTCCAGATATTCCGAAAAGCTTGAATTCAAAACCAACTGGAAATAAGGTCACTGGTACTTCTAGGATTTCTTTTCTTCTTGCCATGTCTAAAGTGCACGAGCGCTAATGCCGAACACAGTGGAGGAGAAAAACGCGCATAAAGTGCGAATAACTGCAGACGTTACTAACTTTGCTTTAACCCATTGACGACCACGACGTTTTGCGGGAAAACGCCGCGAGGGACCGGCGCGCTTTTCGTCCACTAGCGACTGCAGCCCACATGTGGACTTCATGGTCCAGCATGACCGTTTTTTGATGTTTATAAGAGAAAATTATAAGTTTTTAGGAATATTCCTTCAAATGGGTTTGTTGAGAATGCCCACACTGAGTGATTGTTGATTTTTATTATAGAACCGGCACACGTTCTAGTGGTCTTTCAATTATGAGTTCAATCATTACCAGAAATCGTTTCGGGGAATTTTCATTTGCGTTGCGTTGGGAGCTTTGCATTTGGTTCATGAAGGCAAAAATGCTAATGACGACCGTCTTTTAAAAATATCTCAGTTTTTGAAGTTGTTCAACGAACGAAGAATTCACCAAGGTAATGTACTCCTCCGAAAAAAACACCTTAACAATTGTAAAACTAGAAGTTTTTTCAGGACCACGCTGTACGTAGTTTCATTTAGGCCTGATGTAATGTTTTTAGAAGAAAAATTGTAAAAAATGGAAATATAGATGAATAAAACAAAAAACTACAACTGCAGTCCACATGTGGACTGGATGGTCCTCATGGCCGAAACAGTGCAGTCCACATGTGGACTGCATGGTCGTCAATGGGTTAAGCGAATTCCACTATCACAAAAAGTCCGGCCCTTGGTATGCGGATATTGCTGGTTTGCACTCAAATAGTATTATATAGTGTGAAATATGCTTTAGTTGAACATATCGAATTTTCGCGCCATTTAGTCCACTAAGAAAAAAGTTATGAACGAAAAAGCGTAAGAGCGTTTGACCGAAGGCTTTTGAGCGCTACTGTAAGTTGTCAAGTGTTGATATTGACCGACCGGCTCAACACGTTGTACGTGTGAATGCTTATAAACTATGGCATATAGGCCATGGAGAAGGCGAGGGCAAGCGGGATCTCGTTAGTGTAAGGGATAGACGGTGCCTGGATAGCACTAGTGCGGGTTCGAGTCTCGTGCGAGGCGAATTTTTGTCTATAACTCGCCAATCTTGTGAGACCTTTATCACTAGCAGGCACTATTTTTTTCCACTTGTATTCCCATCAAAACTTATTTATACTCGACGGGTTGGTTCTCTTGGCCGCGGAATGCAAACAGATCCAGGCAATTTCAGAAATTGTGCTATTGCGCCTCATGTTCAGCAGAAAGATGTTACCGCACAGTTCCGATTGACGAACGAGCGTGTAGAGCTTGGTGAAGAGCAAATCCTTCACGTGTGACGAGCGACACGATGAATCATGGCAGAGTGAATGTTTAGTGACACTTGCCGCAAACGTGTCGCTTATCAAGCTTATCAAGTGTAAAGAAATTGCGCTCCTCCTCGTTGATATAAACTTGTTGGCCCGTAGTAGAAGAAAAATCAGTAGTAATAAAGTATATAGAGTAAAAAGGACGTAATCGATCCTGTATTTTCGAGTTCTACCAACCCTCCTCGCCTTCGGTTCCATTGATCATTCTAGATATACATTGAGCAAATAACCACTCTTGATGTGTTACAAATTGTAATTTCAGGTGTGACGATGAGTTAGATTGTTGTGGGCGCACTTGCTGTATACCTGAAGCAACTACTATTCCACTATGGTGCGATAATTTAATTTACTAGCCCTCTCCTTCACCCTTCCTGGAGATTCCCTCTGTAGTTTGAGTGTGAATCATAAATTTGAAAGTGAATGTGTGTGGAAAGGTAACAGACGAATGACGTGGGGCAGTGCGTAGCGGTCGCTCGATTGATCGGTTCGAGCCGCTTTGAGTCCGTAAGGGGAGTTCCTGATCTGGCTGTTCTACAACTTTAGTGCTGTCTAGAACGCTTCAGCTACTCAGCAGTAGCAATTTACTATAGAATTGATTCAGGTTGATGATAATCTTTATTATCCTGGCCGCAGTACTGCTACTTGCAGTTCTTGGTACTCTTGTTTGGCTTTTGGCTAAGCGAAGGAAGCCAAGACCAAAGAAAGGTACGCAATTGTATGCCTTTTCTACCTTTTGACACCCTGACATTGCACGATAGTTGATCGTATGAATGTCTCATTTTTGATCGCACGTTTTACGTGGAATGTTTGTGCATGTGGTTTGTTTACCGATTTCCAGCAGAATTTGTGAACGACTCATCGTCGCAACGCATGCCAAAAAGCTATTTGACGTCACACTCACAACGGCATGGCACCCAAGGAAGTGGACGTGATCCTGACGGTAGAGGGCTGCTCGCACATGAGCAGGAAACCTACAGTACTCCTGATCATCTCTATGGCTACAGCCGCTCGTATAACCACAGAGGTAGCCATCGCGGGTATCCATCACGTCGGGACAGCTATGAACCCACTATGTATAATAACGATAATGGCTACGACCCTGTTGGTGGTGTTGGTGGAGGTCTCAATACTGACCGCGGCGTTAATGAGGGCGGCATCACGCGAGAGATCGCGATTTGTGACGCTCGCCGTGACTTCACACGAACACATGGCGACCGCTCGAATGAATTAGGTGACTCACGTATCACCGTGTCAAGTGAGGGCGACGGATCTATGATACGCCGTGGTGTACATGAGATCGTCGAGGAGACTTTCAAACAGGAAATCACTTTTGAAAGACCTCCTTCAACTGATTCTCGAGAGATATTGTAGAAACTACTTCTCTATGAACAGCACTAGATTATGTAGAGTCTTCTTTGTTTCGAATTCCGTTTTCCGAAGAAAGTTGACCGGGAAATCGCGATTGACCCCGCGGCTCTTATTTTGCTCGGTATAAAGCACAGGTCCTATGTTACGCCTTCACCCAACTCTACAACCACTTCTAAGGAGTTCGAAAAATCGAGAGGACGTTTCTAAAGTGATCCTGTGTGATCTATCCCAGAATGTTCTTACATTTCCCAAAAGCAATTCTTAATACACGACTGTCCATGCTCTGTTCATCTGTCGCTGTTTCGGTGCACTTTACTGTATTATAACTGTACATTGACAGAGATAGTATTTTTAATTTGTTTGGAATGAATTGGTTTGAATAACGCCTTCCCGAACTAAGTCAAATTACCTCCTACATGTTTGCTGTATCCAGTATGTTACCAATGAACATGGTGTGCTGTGATCTAATACTACGCCTTCACCGCTAATGAAGTAAATTGAATTAATCAATCTCAATACGAATAAAATTAGTACAACCAAATTTCCCTTAACTATTTTGTGAAATGCTACACAATGACGTAGCTTTTCGTATGTAACATTAAGAAAGGGTCACCGGTGTCTGTGGTTCCTGACCGAATTTAAACTTGACGAAGTAAAAGGGCCACACATCCTCAATGGATATACTAACAATAAGGTTGATGAACAATGAAACAGAGTACATCCTTTCTTTTTGTAAGTAATACATACACGTAGCTGTGATGAACTAGGAGTTGAATTACTCTGTAAACGTAAGTGATAGAGTAGCTGAAAGGAATTGATGCCCTTTCTGGTCCCAAAATCTGGTTTGCAATGAGAGGAGCCAAACGAAACACAAAAAAAGTTCGACTCAATTCAAGAGAATGCGCAACATTCTCCTACCAGGCCTCATTCAATTTATGCAAATCAAGAAAAGCCCGACAGACATTACAATAGGAAAGCCCATCACATCGCTAACACGATTTGCTCATGAGTCGAGATCAAATCTCTACTTATTACGTTGTGTTAGGGGTGGACTTCATTTGTGTAGTGTCGCAATCTCCAATCATACTTTATTACGATGTGTTAGGGGTTGGAAGTAGACAAGAGAGGTGCTGTGCAGAGCAAGGAATTAGCTGTGATGGGGACAAGGATAATGGCGTCTGAGTACACGTATGAGCATAAATTGTTGCCCAGGTGAATGCTCTCTATCGTAAAAAGAGCTTCAATATGCAGCAGCCAATATAAGCAGTGGTGGGTTGCAATGCTTCCTTATGACAGTAGGCCGGGTACTATTTAAGACGTGGCATTAACAAGCGTTCCTCCCAAGAACAGCCCCCTTTCTGTGTACTGGTTTTCGAAATTTTTCGAGTTAGTTTCTACAACATGCTCTGACACCTGCATGTCTTTTCTCACGTGATCAATTTTATTGAAGATCGATTATAGACCATTTGAGAACCTGATTTAACATATGAGAAAAGGACAAAAAGCACAAATATGGTTTTAGAGAAATTCATTCCGTCCCCAATGCAAGAGGAATCACTTCCGCAACCTAGTGCGGAACTTATTCTACAGAGGAACGAGGATGAGATCAGTCGTGCTCTCACATTCGACATGAGCGAAGCTCCACGTCTCAAGCCTCAACGAGCTCAGCATGCCTTCTACAGGTCCCAAACCGGACAGATTGCCAGTTACAATTAGTTTGAATAGGTCTATTCCATAGAAAATTTAGAGTAACAAGTTCTTCTCAGGTAATTGCTTTACTCGATTTCCCTACGAAATGTTGAATTCTCTGTTCGACCCAGGCAGAAGGAACAAGTGGACTTGAAAAATTAGTCTGTCTAATGGCTTCTAGTACATAGGACCTACCTTTTTTGTAAAAAAAAAGTCGCAATAAAGTTTCAAGCCAGCGGCTTTGTGAACTTACACATGCGGCTCTGCAAAAAAATTGCTAGCAATTTCAACTAGAGCAAATATGAGAAAGCTTCACAAGGGCATCCAAGCGAACATGAATGATTTTTCATGCTCTCTTGAGCGTCGCAGTCACCATTCGTGCTTATGCGCGTTTTAGAGAAAACGAGTGAGTAGCGAAGGAAACCGTCTGAGCGGACCTCTGAGGGAAAAGCTTAATTCACCCTCTTTACTGGCATTTCCTTGCAAAGTGGTCAGGTCGAAAGAATTTTAGGCCGTTTGTTGCCGATCCGATGGAGGAGGTGGTGCTGCAAGCCCCACTAATAGGCGCTGTGTCTCGTCACTCAGTAGCTGAACTCAGCCAAACACAAATGCCGCACTATAAGTAAGTTTTACATAAGTCCCCGGAACCGTTAGCTAACTCTAGAATAAGAACGACTTGCTAAGATTGGGTATTCGTCTTCTGTCACTCGTCTGATTCGCACGCCATTATTCCACAAAAGTATATAGTTCTAGTCAGAACTGGAAAGCAGTCTATTTCCTTCACGAAGTGAGATAGTAAACAACAAATTCATTGCAAAAAATTGAATACATGTCCAAGGTCATTTTAAATGATTTGCGAAAATGCTTTGCTACTCATACTCCTGGATTCCTGTAGACAACAGTGGTTCCAAGAGAGAGATGGAACATACAAGCGGAATGATACCATCGTTAACGTTCATATCTAGTTTTCTTATTATCTAGTTTGATATTATAAAAAAGTAGTTAACAAGCAGAACCAGTCAAAACAAATCAAATAGCATCATATTTGACCATCCAGCCATCGCAGAATGTACCTTTTAGCTCTTGGATACAGGTTTGGATAGGTGTAAGAACTCTATGGTAGGTAACTATCAAAACTAAAAAGTGGTCATACTGTTCCCAGTGAGTGTGCCTAAGGTCCCGCTAGTGGCGGCGGTATTTTTTTCCGAATTCCCACATCAAGCGGTAGTGTTTCCTCGTCGACTACCACATCCTCCCACTGAGAATTCGAACCCTACCCTTATTGGCAAGTGCGATCGAGTGTAGCAAGTGTGACGCGAATTTCGGAGAGAAGTACTCACTCCTCACGAACAGTACTCAGTGCGAAAGTAGGCATTACTGTTGACCGCTCGAGCAATTCGGCAATCGACGGGACGACAGGTAACAGGTGGTATCACACTATTTGTTCTTGTAGACTGCTATTTAATTCCAGCGAATTCAGACAAACACTATACTTCTGTTAGCTACCGCTACTTTCTACATTAGGCTTTTAATGTTTAGGGAGAACGTCTGATTGCCGAGTATCACTAGCTCATGAGGTAGTTTGCTCCAAATTCCCTTCTGCATTCGCGTGTATCGGAATACTGCGAGCACTGCTCACTCTACCGCGCGTAGAGTGACCCTGACTGCATGTTCATCCTGCTTGCGTAGAGTGCAAGTTTCTGAGATTTTGAGTTAGGTAAGTCAAGGCAGAAAGAACTGTTCGAAAGATTACCGCGGAGTTTTACGTATTTGTCATCTTCACTACTCCCCACGTCCTTTGATCTTCCCCGCGTAGCGCGTTTCTTAAACACAGCCGCCAAGTTAGATAGTTCATCATGTTGACTTCTCGAAGTAGCTAGAACATTCGGAGATGTTTGCACAGTGAGCATAAAAGAAGCGTTAGAAGACGTACCGTTACTCATATATATCGTCTCCGTAAAGCTCTGTTGCAGGTGTGAATGCTTGTCGTCTACCTTCACGCCCATGTCTTTCTAATCCAAATGACACACGCCCTGGTCGATAGTGACAATGGAACTCTGTTTAGGATGGTATCGCCCTTGCAAACCCCTCTATTTAAATACTTTAGCGATACTCCCCCGTAGAATTATCAGATTCTCCTCTTAATACAATGAGCAGGATCTCCATTGTCATCGAGGACTCAGATTACCACTTACTTTTTGACGGTATCGGAGGCCTCGACACTTTAGCGAATCTTATCAATATGTGATTTGGTCAATGTATCAAACACCTTCAAGTACTCTGCTTGCTCACGTGGCTTTCCTCCCTCTTCTATTCTACCAATACAATTGTGAATTACTCGTGTCAAGAGTTGACTCATAACAGGCAGTAGGCAGGTTGGGCGATAGGCGCCTGTAGCGTTCGGGTTATACAGCAGCTCGAATTGTTCTAAATCCCTTGCTCATATAGCAGACTCCAGTCTTACACAAAGTGGGCACTTTGCATTCCAACAGATATCGCGTGAAGGGCCGGGTTTGACGTCAACTGGTCGATAGCCCTCTAGATGATCTCATTTATTACTTATCGTGACCAGGGGCACAACGTTCTCATCAACGTGATGGCATGTCGGGATTTCGAAGAAAGGATTTAAGGGGCGGCATATCCACCCTGTCTAAGATGGTATACAGGCAGGCAGACATGACTGTTGAAGAGATCAGAGTAGAAGCCATAGATAACCTTCTTATTGTCTAAGCAGTAATTGTTCGATCAGCATGGCGAAAAATAGCACTCTTGGTTTGTAATTAGAGAATCTTCAGTTGGCGTTGCCTCCTTTCATGCTCGGTGGATTCGCTCAGAACTGTGATCGGATCTTACCTTATCACTTCCTCATGAGGGCTCGCAGGTTTGATCGAAAAAAGTAAAAGCGAGGCGTTTTCGGCGATTCTCGAACCCTTTGCCTTTCTAGCTTTTTTGTGAACATAGAGCTGGTTGGACTTCTTGTCGACGTTGCCGATAATGGGTTGATCTTGATCGTTGATCTTCCTCTTAACATGTAAGAGAAACCAGAAAATACAAAAAAACAGCTTTGGGGCCTCAAATGTCGGGATCCGCTGCTCCCTCTTCATGCAATGAAAACAGAAACTAGCGCGGAGAAGACGCGCCGATTCCATGTAGACTTCAAGACTTTAGTCGATCACACAAAGTGACTCTTATGTTTAATGCAGATGGTAAAGAATCTTGAATCCAACATGGATCCTTGTAGAGCCTTTCCAGGTCCATACGGAACGCTTTTAACCTCTCTTCTTCGTAGTCCGATGTTCATGCGTAAGCGACAACGACTTCTAGAGCTGGGGTTGAGCCCCACCTTCTCAATGGCAATCGTCCGATTTATTTTGTCGAATTTTCATATGAATATGGCCAAGTGCGTGTTGACGAGGAACCTACAGTGCTGACTCCTATGCTGTTGCATGTTTTGAAGGATGACTATTTCCCAGTCTCGAGGACTGGGTCAATTGCTCTTCAGCAGTAATCTTCTCTACTCGATCAGTCCGATGCACCATCAGATATTCGATAAATGCTCCTAATGCAAGCGTTCGTGCATTGAAAGTACAGATTGCCATATTAATCCTTCTCATTTCGGGCATTGCTATGAAATCGCATATGAATGAGAAGTTTAGTCTCATGTAACTCCCATTCACTAGACTGGAAGCCTTTGGTTGGGCCGAGATGCGGAATAGCAGCCGCAATCTACACGCATGCATGGATGCGCCCGCGAAAGGGCTTTTTCTTCCAAAGCATGCACTGGTTGCTTTTTTGCTCGATTTTATACCCTATTCTTCACATCAAGTCGCAACACGTATATCTACACCAACCAGCTAGAGATTTGTCAGTGATCAACGTGCCAAAAGCCTTTTCTGTAATATCTAGGCCAAAACGAATGAATTTCCACCCTTATAATTAATTTTCATTAATTACTGTTATTTGAAAAAGATATATTAGAACAGAAAAGGCGTACGTGAGTTGTCGGGACTTCACTAAAGAGACAACTTGTGAAATCAAGCCTTAGTGTTGTCTTTCAAGCTCAAAAAACATTCTTCGTCCTTCTCAATTACCCCTCCATTAAAGGGTACCATCTCCATTAAAGGGTGAAGCTGTGTAGCGATGGATTCGCGACTAAGGAAGTCGGGTTACCAAAGATGTCAGGAAAAAGGCATATATAACCAGCCAGGCTAGCAGTTCGCAATAGCAGCTGCTGCCCTACATAGAAATCCCTTATTCTCGCTCGAACGTTGTCCCTGTGACGGCCTGTTGAGGATGTCATACTACGCTTGCTCATTGCTGTTGTGGGTAGTTATAAATGCAGCAGGCTAAGAGGAGGCAAAGAAAGTTTCAGCTGAAAAAGTCACAACTGCCTACTTTCAGAGGACATCTGTAAAGGAGTTCACCCACCGACTAACGCGGGTAGTAACACGAAACAGACATTAAGCTAGCACCATGTGCTTACCGAGTATAATTTAAGCATGAGAAAATTGTGGTAGAGAGGTGATTCGTGCAACTAATTGTTAAAAGAGTGAGGCGGTTCTATCAGAGTTGTTGTTGGCACAGCAACACACCAGAACACCAGATCAATTTTTGTAGCAAATCCGCTACAGTCCAGAGTCCAAAGAAGGTCCTGGTGAGTGAGTACTACCGATACTACGGTAGTGTTTGTACAAATGACTAGATTTTAAACAGCTAATCTAATGCTAACTTTACAGGTCCTTCGAGCTACCGAAGAGTACAAATGCAGAACGCATGTACAAAAGGCCTGGATTTGACAACGTCCCATCATATTGATACATATTCGCAGAGCTGGAGTTCTTTCATTTTATGTGCTAGAAATAAAGGCTACTCTGAGCTCGGGAGCGTGCCCTCACGGTCGTTCAATATTTATGAGCAGGGTATCGTAGTTCGGCTTCAGAAAAACGATTACATCAAGGGATTTCGCAATTATACAAACAATGAAGGCCAGCTGAAACAAGACCTATACTGCTAGACGTATTTTCAGG